TGGGGGCTAAGGAAATGCTTATCTCCCCGAGCGCGGCCTTCATCAAACCATTCCATCACAAGGGTGGAGCTTATTTAATCCTTGGCTGGAAGATCACCAGGGAATTCCAAGGCCACAGGCTAGACTTGGAAAGCCAAGATCATCCTGGAAGAAGGCAACAGCAAAATCTTCATACTCTTGCCACGAAAAGGGATGGACCCATCCTGAAGTTCCCAGGATATGAGTATGACTCAAAGACATTAACTGTTTTAGTTGATTCTAAGAGAGCATTAAAGCATTTCTTTAAAAAATGCTAAAACCAAGTATTTTGAGGGTACTCCTTATATTAAAACTTAATTTGAGTTCCATAGGCATAGTATATTGTTTTGTTCTTCATGGGTTTGAGTTTGGGGATTCTCCTGGCCATATTCTGAAAGAGTTGTTTTATTCTATTTCTTTTCTTTTTATCCTTTGTCCTTCTCCTTTTTACTTTTATTGCCATGTAACATCTACTTTTCTTCAATCAATTCCACTTTAATTTGAACTCCCTTTTGTGCCAGAGCGGCGCTACAAAATAAGAGGCGATAGACTGCCAGCGGTTTCTATAAGTTCAGGCGCAAAGTGTTGAAAAAGTAGGTTTCATCACGCCTGACACTCCCAATTCCAAACATCAGGAGAATAACACTGAGTAATTGCTGGTGTATGTCACCTTGAAGGTATTGGAGGAAAAAAACAGAAACATCATAGATAAATCAATAGCAGATTTACAGGTTATCATCTGCTACCAATTGTCATTTCTTATTCCCATTTGCTTGGCATTGTGCAACATAAAGAGAAAAAAACTTTGCTAGGCTGAAAGACATTTTAAACTATGATTAGCCAGAGCCTGAAATTACAGAAAAACTGGGCAGCAGAACCTGTTTACCTGTGCTGTCTCAGTTATGTTTAAGCAAAGCACGATCCAGCCTCATTTAATATCAAGCCTCTGAGCTCTTGACACGGGTCACACAAATAAAATGAAACTATCGTGGTATAACAATCAGGTATATTAAACTACTTCTTCAAAATCCATCAGATGTGGGGAGATGAGTTGGGTGTTTATGCCTCCGTGCTATAAATGACTGGCACCATTAACAAACTAGCTACTACTTCATACTCTGGAATGAAATTACTTCTATTGTAGCATAACGTTTGAAAAGATATTTCATGATAATGATGTCCAATGTCAAGGCTAGATAGACAAATTATAGGATTGTTAAATAGCCCTGCCATCAACTAAAACCATTTACTTTTTATTTGTTGCTATTCTAATGCATTCCTTCCAGGAACTGTATTCTCATGCAAGCTGCCTGCATGCATATTTCAAAGTCTGAATCCATGGGGCACAGTGAGCTCGAACAATCTTATTTCCAAGTAGATCTTGCTTTCAAAAATCCTCTGAAAGGATATCATTATGAAAACCCATCTAAACAAGAAGATTCTTTTTCTGTGCTCCCTGGCTTTACTAAGACATGCACCTCAGCTAAAATGAAATCTGAAAAATGACATCTAGGAAACAAGATTGGAAGCTAGTATTGAGCTGGACTGTTTTTCCAGGGAATAGCCATCGTTCATTGGTTCACACATATTTTTGATGTTAAGTGTCCCCGATTCAGTTGTTCACATCTCCAGGAAGTTGTGGAAAAAGGAATCTTCTTTGAAACCCTGGAGAGCTGCAGGACAATGTAGAACGTTATGAACTAGATGGAGTGATCATATGACTTAGTGACTGGATTTGCATGATATGCTAAGCAGGTCTTATGTTAATCCCGCGAATGCACCCAAAACAACACAATAAATCACTGCTGTCTCCTCTCTTTTATTTAATATCCCAGCAATTTTTGTAGGTTTGGAAGGCAAACAACATCACCAATGAAGCCTGCAGCGACCTGAACAGAGTTGGAGCCATCATGCATAGGATGAGAAATTATAATCTTGCTTTCAAAGGAACCCCACCACTACAATTACATGAAAGTGAAAAACAAAGATGCATCATCAGAACTTCCGTACTACACATTGTCTTCCCGGAAGACAAATATCTGCTTAATCATAAATCAGCTATTAGTCTGGATTCAGATGATGTTTTAAACCACAGCTAATCCAGAACAAAATAGAATTACAGTTTATGATTAACGGCCTTTCATAGTACCAAAATGAACGCAGGTCCAGGTGCACAATATGGCTTGGTATGTCATACGAACGCAATCAGTTTAAGGCAACTTCCTGTGTTCTAGCTACAGACAACTGTCAAAATATCCAAGGTTTCCAGTCTGACACAACATTCAGGTGAGTATGCTCACTTTCGATCAGTGGAAGAGGGTGATCACACAGTTTAACTATGTGTGTTAAAACCCACACCACTAGTTCTGAAAGCCCAAATGGAATGTGGGCTTTCATTCAAAGAAGAACACACAATCTCAATCCATCTTCTCCTGAAAATTCTCAAAAGGGGCTGGTGACACACAATGGACTTTGTCGTTCAAATACTAAACAAAAATCCAAGAGAATGCGATCTGAGAGTATGACCAAAGTAGCCTTTTGAGCATGGATTTTTCTTCTGAGACATATATTTGTGAGGAATGATATTGCTGAATCTGATTATGCCAAAATCCTACTAGGAAAATGAGATTTAACATTACTTTATAGGAAAATATACATTTTCTTCAACCAGCATTAAATAGCGACCAGTAACAAACTCTAACTTCATTACAGGGAAAATAAATCTATACCCAAACTTAAGGCAAGAAATTCATTCCTTTTGTGAGGCACAAGACAGGATCCTCTCGGGGACCTGAACTCATAAATAATCTTTTCTGATTAACTATGTCAAAGATGACTGCACAGTACCATGTCAAATAAACCTGTACCAAAAGGGAGAAATGCCTTTCTTCAAGAAGACCTTGTCACACTGAATTTTTCAGAGCTGATAGAAAAGTAAAGAAACATGTCATCCTTTAAATAGCATGGACCCACTGCATTTTTAAAACTATGTGCTATTTTTGTAAAGATTTAATGAGAATAGATTGCAACACCAATACAAATAATAGTTTTTAGAAACAAAAGGATACTTAATGTTATTTATCCATGTTTAACCTATTTTCTCCAACTAATTGGGAATGTGGGAGCTGTGCATAGATCATCTACACTTTTCAAATTAAAGGGTATAATTTTAAACGTGGTTATATGTGTAATTTAAAGTGTGCAAAATGCGGCTCAGCAGTGATCATAACTGGGGTACCAGAAAAATGCTTTGTACTCCAAAGGTAGCTGAGCAATGCAAGTCATGCAAATTCTTTTTCTGGATGAGAAAAATCAGAAAGCACTGGCATTTGCTTGGATTCCGCTTAAAGTTACTGGAATCCTGATTTACATTATGGCTGAAACTTAGTAATAAGAGGATGGCTAATATGCACAAGAATGCTGCTGAGATTAGTGGTCAACTGGGGTGGGTTGTACGACAGAAACAAAATGAATACACGTGAAGTTACCCACATCCTTTAAGAACTGGAAATGCTATTTTTCCAGTCATGGAAAGGGGTAAGACCTTGCTGAACTTTGCCACTATTATTTGTATAATACTTACATGAGCAGCACTTTCCCCAAGGCAGCTTCTAGCATATAATCAGACGCTTGTCACACCATGTTCTTTCCAGCCATTTACGCTGACAGACCAACCTATTTTCCTTGGTGCTTTTCGTAAGACAATCAACTCGCAACAGTATGCATTTTCAACAACATTAGATCAACTAGCAGGCTCCTGCTTGCCCTTGGTTCAAGTTCTAAATGTAATTTAAGATGGTTTGTTTCTAAATACCCCAAAGAGTTGATTTACTATGTCAAGCATGTCTTCATCTTTGGCTTTTAACTACATTAGGGCCAGAGCCTAGAAATAAAACTTCTTCTGGCAGACTACACAGTGATGTTACATCTGTTGCCCTTTTAATTTGTTTGCCACTGTAACATTTTAATGCTTACAATTAACTTAATCCTTTAGAATTAAGTGTGTGCTTCTGTCCACAATGCAACATTTTACCTTATCAGCCTGGCGCATGTAGCAGTAGAGAATTCCTCGCATACATTTTATAGCAGAATGCTCCAGCTCATGGGTTCGTCCCTTGTCATCATCAATACGCCTGAATGAGAGAGATAACCCATGAAACAAATTAGAAATTCATTCGGAAGGAAGTTGAAGGAACCAGCATTCCTTTTTTGATAATTAAGTATTAAGAACATTTTGATAAAGTGGCATACGCTAACTCAAACGTTCTCAGGCCCTATCAACCTTGCTAGAATAAAGCTGACCCTTAAAAAATAAAAAAAGGCAACAACTAAGTCAATAATTAAGTTTAGGTTCATAAAATGAAGTCAAGTAATGCTTGTCGACAAACTTTTGTTTCCCTCTGTCTTCATATTTTAAAGAAAATATGGATATATAATTATGAACTATAAAAGTGAAAAGAAAAAAATATTTGACAAATGTCTGTGGCATAGTGATGTTTGAAATTTTGCTAATAATTCCTGGACAACGTTAAATATTTGTTTGGATTACTTTCCATGGTACCACTCTGCAACAAATCCTTATTTGTTCTTCTTTTCAAGTCAACATGGCTTATGGCACTTATTTAATTCTTCATTTAATAATCTGACAAAAACCTTCACATGCCAAAGCATCTCAAGACAAAAAAAAAAAGCAATAAAATATGTAATAAAACAATACATAAAACACCATTAGATATGTAAAACAAATATTTTTTAAAAAAAAATAATTAAAAAGGTGAGGAGAAAGAGGAAACAAAGTGTTCTTCCAACTACAGATACAAAGAACATAGGATGCACCAATCATTTCTTGTATGGAAGAGCAGGTTAGAAACTCTATACCTGTTCCCTCTTTAATGTCTTAAGCCAGGCTTTCTGAATTAGATGTAAGGTTGCCAATTCCCAGAATTCTCTGCGAGCCCAAAGTGAGCACAGCATAGTTTCTGAAAGCTGTATTAACTTGTCTATTACATATAACTGGCTATATGTAATTAATGTGTGTAAATTAAACACATTATGCCAAATTATGAAACTATTGCTACATTCCAAAGTACACTTAACTTAGCAATAAGCTCCACTAAATACATGCTGTATTTACTTATATTTACCTCTAGGAGGCAGTGATTGGTTCTGTCCTCTTTGGGACTCCTTAGGTGTACATAGCCACAGATCTTTCTATGAGGTTCAAACCCTCTACTGGGGATTGCACTGATGGGCCACTACACTTTAGATCAGGGTTCCTCAACCTTGGCGACTTGAAGATGTGTGGACTTCAACTCCCAGAATTCCCCAGCAAGCATGAAGTCCACACATCTTCAAGTGGCCAAGGTTGAGGAACCCTGCTTTAGATGACTATCTTACAGTGCAATAGCTTTAGGACCTCTCCAGGCCCTGGTGTTCAGCAATGATTGATTGATTGATTGATTGATTGATTTAATTAATTAC